TAAATAAATACATAAATAAAGAAAATTTTATTTTTCGCAGCATTTTACTCCAATTTTCGTATGCTTTCTTCTCAATATTTGTACGAAAAAATATTTACGCATTTAAAAAATATTGAATTATTGTATTATATATTATATCGATTTTGAAAGGCAACTAAATATTCTTAAAATACACAATTTACTAATTTAGGCCTTCAATCCGCTTTGCCAAGCAAAACGGCAAGGTGACATGAATTTTATGCCATCCTAGCCCAAAGTAAGCAATGTCGAGCCATAATCATAATGCGAAACACACAAATATATGTTCATACACCACTTTCATCTCTAGTCAAACCAACAGATTTTCAAATACATCAACATGCTGCCAGGAAATATGCTAATGACCTGCAGGCAAGACACTTTGCTTATACCAGCATCAGCTGAGCTGCGGTGCCCCAAATGCTCGACACATACACGAAGTATTCACGCTATTATGTGCTTATGCATGTGGTATTCAAAATCAATTACTTTAACAATTTAAACTTTTCTATAATGTGTTTTAGCTGTTACCTAGACGCTCGTTGCCAGCGGCAACACTTCGAAATATATATATATATATACATATATGTATATATAAGTCTCAACTCAGAGCGGGCAGAGCGTGCGAGGCAGTCAGCCGAGACTTGACAGGCAACAGTTGAAAGTTCAAAGTTGAAGCCTTTAACAAGCTACCCCCAAAAAGCTATCTTCCCTGCCGCCGCCTTCTCCCTAAGCCCCCAACCCCTTTTAGCAGACTTTCTGCCCAATGCCTGTAATGTCAACTTTTTCGTTGTGGGCCGATGTAAGCCTCGTTCTCAGCATTTGTTTAACATGTTTTAAATGAAACTCCGTAAATGCAGCGCAGAGTGCAAAATCCACATAAAGCAAACTTCAATTTACTTTTCGCACACATTGTATTTAATTTAAGTAGAAAATACTGACTATATGAAAAGTTCGCAAGGGCACAAAGGACGGCACTAGACGACAGACTGGCTGGGCCGACTCTGCTGGGCTGGCTGTTGGAGTTGAAGTAGCTCTGCAAGTAAAAGTGGCATCGAGCCAGTTGGACCGGAGACATAGTCGCTGGCAGCAGCTAACGTGCGTGCTAACTTTGATTTTGCCGGGCCAAGAAAAGCAAGCCAGAACAAGGACGAAAAAGAAAGCGAGAAAACCAAAACGTAAAACTTTGCAGCAGCAGGTGCCACGCAGATCTAAACGGGTTGACAGAGCTGGGCCACAGCGTGGGAGGATGCGTGGCGAGATGCTGCTCAAGTTGAGGCTCGAGTGGTTAACGTAAAGGGTCCGTCACCACAAGCAGCCAGATACAAACGATGTGAGTGGTGGTGCGAGTGGTGCGAGTGGTGCGAGCGGTGCGGGCGGTGCTGCTGGCGGTACACAGTAAATTCTGACGTTGTGGCAAAAACCGCAAAGATGCTTACTGCGAATGTTGCCCTGCCAGGTTTATAAGATGTGCGTCTCAGAGACAATAGATGGGGCGTCGCCCCCTTAGCTATCTCTGCCAAATGCAAATGGGCGCCAGCTGACACACATATTAAAATGTTGCATACTTGCTGGCGCTCGCCTGGCCTGCCCAGCCCCAGCAGACATAATAAACTTGTGTGTAGAGAGCTCTATGTGTGGGCTATGGCAAAAGGAGCCAAGGAATTTGTGCCGAAAGGAATGCGTGCAACTTGTAAGACAAGACGTCGACATCCTCTGCTGCGATCCCGCCGCCAACCGCACTTGCCCGGCCAGCCCAGACAGTGCAAAACTTTCAAAAATTGCAAATAGTTTTTGGTAATTTAATATTAACACGAGTCGGCAGTCCACTAGGGTTATGTACGATTCAGCTAACGCTATCGCACTTGCCCCAACTTTCTCTATCTCTCTCTCTCTCTCTCGCTCTCGATTGCACACGCTGCACTGCACTCTCTGTCTCGCTCTGATTTTCTGTGTCCCTGTGGGTTTGTGTTTGTTGCGGCTTTTAGGAACCACACGCACAGATACATACATACACACACACACACACGCACGCAACAAACTGCCAAAAAATGAATTTCCAAAGGCGCTGTGGGAAAATGTTTGGTTTTTGCAATTAGTGCGGTTTGTGCCATCGTTTCATTAAATATTTTATGTGAACTTGGCCCAAACGGAATTACAGCAGCCGAGCTGCATATGACCACAGCTTGTGGTTGAAACTCTTAGTGCAATATTTTGCTAAGGATATTACATATTATTAAGGCCACATACATTGACACAATTAATGAAACGTGTTGGCTTCGTTATTGATTGAACCGCGCTTAAAAGCGTTTTGTAAATTGGAAAGGCTTTTGGGTTATTTTGGTTTGTATGTCGAAATTTAACTTTTGAATAGATGTTTGCCTGGGCTATGCATCGGGTTAATTAAATCATTACATATTAGTCGTATTAATGATGGATACTTGAAATACTTACTCACACTGAGGTTTGATAAGTGACCAATTTTTTTTTTTTTTTTTTTTAAATTCATTTATTGCAGCTTATTGTCTGAGACTATTTAGCGCATTATTGACTTAAACCTTAACTTAGATTATTGGCTAGAAGCCAGTATTTACATATTTACAAATTTTAACAACATTTAAGGTCTGTGGTCTAAGGGATGAGATCTTTTAAGCCTTCGCCTACTGTTGTTTACTGCCAGGTCAGTAGCCAGTGGATTTGGGTGTGCTAAGAGCCTGTCC